CCCAGCCCCGCCGCTGCTACCGCCACTACTCCTACTCCAGCTCCCGCTCCGGATCTTGGAGCCGCTCGCGCTCGCGCTCCCCCAGCTCACCCCCGCGGCACTGGAGGAGCAGCAGCAGCAGGAGGAGGAGCCACAGGTCAGGGGTCAGGGGTCAGAGGTCAGGGGGAAATGGGAGGGGGGAGGGGGTGAGAAATCTTTTAGAATGTTTGCGCTTCTACTGCATAGGGCCCCCCATGTAGGGAGGGAGCCACTTCCTCCCCTGTGGAAAGGTGGCGCCTCAAGTTACAAGCACCTACCTGGGTGATACATGACAGTCTTTCCACGCCTGCAGCCCTACTGCACAGCAGACCAGCTGGAAAAGTGGGGAAAATGCATTTCTGAGTTGTGGGCACAGGAATGAATGACATGGGAGTGCCAAATGAATGAAATGGGAATTTTAGGGATCCTAGATTGTAGAAGCCGAGAGCAAAATGTGGCCCTTATGCACAGGACTGTGGGATATTAATTTGGACATTAAGGGAAGAGCATCAGTCTATTGGTAAATGCCACTTACAGCAGCAGCCCAGTTTTTCCTTAGAGGTCTCCTAGTTCCTGGGACCAGCCCCAGAGTTGCTTATTTTCTGATCTTTGGGGCTACAAGGTTATGATGCTGCCCAAGAGGGAAAATCGTGGGTAATTCTTAGGGTAGAAGGAACATTTCAGTGGGAGTGTCTAGTGCGTCTAGTGACTTCATCACGCTGTCTTCCAGTTTGTGCAGTGCAGTGTCAGCCTGTGTTCCCCAAGAGCCGTGCTGTCATCTTGTTCTCCTTCCACTCTAAGCTCTCAATTTGTAAAATTGTGCAACTTGCTAACTGGACAACGATGCAGGCTCCTAGATGCATTACTAAGTATTGGATTCTGGAGTGTGGTGCACCTTTTACATTTCTGAACACTTGACATGTCACATCAGACTGGAGCTGCCAAAAATGCAATGCAGGGTGGGACGGGAGTGTCTTTTAAGAGTAATTTACACTTATTTAGCGCTTTTCTGGACACTGCATTCAAGGCGCTTTACAGGTAATGGAGACTCCCCTCCACCACCACCAATGTGCAGCTTCTACCTGTATGATGTAACAGCAGCCATAGTGCACCAGAAAGCTCACCACACATCATCTATCATTGTGGAGAACGAAGTGATTAAGCCAATTCATAGATGGAGAATATTAGGAGACCATGATGGGTAAAGGTCATGGGGAAATTAGGGCAGGCTGCCGGGGTTACACCTCTACTCCCTTCAAGAAATGCCCTGGGATTTTTAATGACCACAGAGAGTCGGGACCTCAGTTTTACTTCTCATCTGAAGGACGGCGCCTTTTTACAGTGCAGTGTCCCCGTCATTATACTGGGGTATTAGGACTCACACAGACCACAGGGTGAGCGCCCCCTGCTGGCCCCACTAACACCTCCTCTAGCAGCAACCTTAGTTTTTCCCAGGAGCTCTCCCATCCAGGTACTGACCAGGCTCACACCTGCTGGGCTTCAGTGCACTGCCAGTTGTGAGTTGGGTGATGTACCTGCTGGCTTTTAGAGCCAGTCTAGTTTCACACAGTGGATGAGTTTGCTCTGCAAGTGGGATACGTTTATTTGCTTCCATAAATGACACTCCAGAATGCAGAAGTCTGAACTTTAAGGGATGTGTATATTGGCCACCTGACCCTGTGCGCTGACGGATTGTGAATTGCATTCACAGCCCGGGTTATGGACAATACAATCGCTATGATTCAAGGGATCGAATCTGCCGCCAGGAACTGAAGAACCAGCTCAAGGAGAAAGCTATTGTGAGTACAGGCTGTCTCGTTCCACTTTCAGGGAACCATCAAGAGCCCGTGGCCGTCTTTCGCATTCCTCCTCGTTATTAAAGTTTGAAAGAGGCACTCGGCCCTACCTTGTTAAACTGAGCAGCTGCTCAGCCAGTTGATTGAAGTTGAATCCGATTTTTAAATAACCAGATTCAAAGATCAAATCAATAAGCTACTACAAAACCAACTGGTTTCCTTTCACGTGTAACATTTTTTTTTAAAAGCCCTTTTAACTTTTGAACGTTTTGACCTAATTGCTACTTATGTTCCCAGTTATTTGTTCACTTGCTTGTGTGGAACACAACACTGCTGTTCCTCTGATTGTTAACGTTTTGTGCGCCAATGTGTTCCCGTGGAAACGTGAGGTCTGCGCCCTGGGGGTGGGGGGGTGCTCTCCAGGGTCTGGCGAGCCCGGGAGGAGTGAGGAGCAGCGCCTCTCTGACCCGTTTCTCCCTCTCTCGCAGGAGGAGAGGCGGGTGGTGTACATTGGGAAGATTCGTGGAGGGATGACGCGGAAGGAGCTGAAGGAACGCTTCTCCCTGTTCGGCGAGATCGAGGAATGCACCCTGCACTTCAGAGAGCACGGGTGAGGAGGCGGGGCGTGTTTCGGAGCGTCGGCCCGCAGCACAAAGTGTTGCCAACCAAGCCGAAACGATGCAGCGCCGTCAATCAGAAGATTCTCATACGGTCAGCTGTACAGGATTTCCAGCATAGAGGCGACGGGAAAAGCCTGGAATTCCTGAAACTGCTCTGTCTTCTTTCCAACCTTGATTGTTTTATTTTCAGCTCTGAAACAGGATTTACAGCTTGTGCATCTGTAAAGAACACACTTTGCTCGTGAGGCTTAATTGTGTCATTTCCTTTTTACTTACTTTGTCCAATAGGTGTTGCTCTGGGCTTGGCGGTATCTGCTGCCATGTCAAACTTAAGAACCATTCTTCCGTCTCTTGACCTCCCCCCCTCCCTCTTCTCCCACCTCGAGAGATGAAAATTCTGTGATCTACATTCAGACTGGCTACTATTCTAATAACGCCACAGCTCTGCGGTGAACTGTACAGGTTTAGGGTTTATTTCCTCCAGCTGGTGTGGTCAAGGCCTCTTTGTGGATTCCCCAGCTTGTCATAAAACGCCCCCCCTCTCCCCCTCAGGCATGCAGCATGCCTGCGCACTCGCAGTAGTGCCTGTGAGACGTGTGAGCATGCAGCAGAAGAAGAGAATTAGATTAGTTCTGGTTCTGCTGAGGAAGTGTACAGAGTCTGTACCTCACCAGGAAAAATCCATGCAGAAGAGTAACGCCTACCTGGGCAACATCCAGCAGCGGTTCTGCAGATCAGCAGATAGGCGAGAAATTGTATTACTGATTGAATTAAGAGGGGAAATTGAAGGAGACCGGAGCCTCAGCCCCTCTACTCTTACGAATGGCGTCATGGAAACGTGGTTGGGGAAATTCTGGTCTAGAGGAAAGGAGCATCACCTACTGGTTGCTGCTGCAGGTGGTTTATCACATCGTAAGGCCACAGCCCAGCTTAGCCTCCAAAATGTGATGCAATCATGGGATAACACCCTTTTTTAGAATTATTCCAGATGTAGAAGGAAATTTCAGTGCGAGCCACTGCAAAGCTAGGCGGCACTGAATTGTAGAGGAGGGTTTTTAATTTCTCCCACAGTTGCTCCCCTCTCCTACTGGTGCTGTACATGAGCTGCTCGTGTTGATCTCTCCCCCTCTTGCGCAGGGACAACTATGGCTTCGTCACCTACACCCACACGCACGACGCATTCACCGCCATCGAGAAAGGGAACAAGCTGCGCAATCCCGATGAGCTGCCCTTTGACCTCTGCTTCGGGGGCCGGCGGCAGTTCTGCAAAACCAGCTATGCTGATCTGGGTGAGTGTGTGAGAGAATCCATCCTCTTAAGGCCTCTGTTAATGATCTACACCCAGACTTCTCTGTCAGGGCTGCTCCTTGTCGGAGGAAAAACCACAAAGCACAAAAGGGAGCCAACACAAACAAAAGCAGAGCCTGGAGGCTTCAGCTAGTGACGTGAAGTGCACAGCTTAGCATGTTCTTCTCTAAGTGAGGTGTTACTAGTGTTGCTGAAAGGCACGGACAGAGTCGGCCCATTTCGCGACACCAGCTGACAGTGTAGGCCTCCCAGATGCTTGCAGGCATGTTCGCACTGCCCCCTCCAGTGTGAGAAGTTTCGGAGGGGTTGGTCTCCATTCCATTTCTCTTTTTTCCCTCCCCTCCTGTGGCTGTGCCGTAACAAAAACTGGCGAATCTGAAGCTCGGAATGCAAAACCAGGGCATGGATTCTGCTTGTCTGCAAAAAGCCGGGCTGCTCTCCTGACATTTTCTCTCTCCCGCCCCCTTCCATTTCAGATTCGAACCGGGAGTTTGACCCCGGTCCTGCGAAGAGCAAGTTTGATGCACTAGACTTCGACACTTTACTCAAGCAAGCCCAGAAGGGCCTGAGAAGGTAACCAAGGCCGGAGGCGGAGGCAGAAGAATTACCTCAGAGCTGCTGCGGGCTCCCACCCAAGGCGCTGCCTTTTCACTTACGTCGCTTTTCTTTCATGATGTTCTGCAAGCTTACACCTTCTGTTGAAGAGAAATTTGTAAGAAAAAGGAAAAGAGCAAAAAAAATGGAATAAGTTTAAAAAAAAAACCCACATAAAACGTGCAATTTTTTTTTAGGAACCGTATTTAACATATTTGATCATTTGCATTCCCAAATGGTACAGTATGTAAGTTGACTTGCCAACTGTTTTAAGGAAATGTTAGCAAACACAACAAAAAGTCCGTAACAGATGAAAGGAAGGCTGCCTTATTTTTGAGGTATGAGGTGTCGGAAGGGTGCAAAAAGTTTTGGGGGGGGGGAATCTAAATAAAAAAAAATTATGAAGCGAAACCTGTGTGTTTTTCTTCAGTGTAGTTGAATTCTTTTGCGTTGTTTCATGTTGGTCTTGAAGCCCTGAAGTTATGAGGCAGCAGATGTTATTGGCACTAGGTCTCTCTATAGAGTGGGAGCATCCAGGCTCAGCACAGGGCAGATACACAGCTGCAGAACTCAGAGGATTGCTGGAGAATAGATCCCTTTTGTACGGCGTCCTTGGTGAGGCTGATGGAAATCGAACTGAGATTCTTTAAATGTGTACTTTTTTTTTTTTATACAGCTCTCAACTCCTCAGTCCCATAGTCCTCTGTATATTGTAAGAGGAGCTGAGTATTATCTGGAGGATTTGCAAGCACAAGGCAGTAGCTTAGCATCTCATTTTCATGTTTTCCCACTTAACACTTACTGCTCCAATGTCTGCCTAGTCCCACCAGATCACACCTTATCCTGCACTTGCAGATATTCTGGTGTGATCTGCAAACTTGTCAATGACAGGGTGCTAATTTGTTAGCGGTCATTGAACACCAGGTTGACACCACGTATGAGGCATAAGCTGCAATTTTGCAGTTACGTGTATCTATCCTGGTATCGCCCAGATATTACACCAAAACTATTTCTTTTATTTTTAAATAATGGTGAAATTTTAGCTAGCCCCAAACTTAGGCAGGTGCAGCTATTTTACAAGTGATGGTGATCTCAATCTATGGGTAGAGTGAGGAAGGACTTGTTGGTTTCTAATAAACCTTTCTTAAAGACAGATGTACCTGATCAGCATATCTGCAGAGGTTGATAACATCATACTGGAAAAAGGTGACTTTCACCTCTACTGAGAACTACAGGATTGGGACTGTGGACCCCAGCAATTTCCCTAGTCCTCCCCAGCTAGTGCTTTGTTGTTTTTGAGTCCATTTCTTCTATAAATTTAATGTCACGGAAGGTGACCTCTAAATGCAGGAGCTGTTTTTGCTTTGTAGATGACTATGCCACATAGCAATTATAAAGGGTGCTGGGATCCTTTTTCCCCCCCACAGTAGGTTTCCTGAGTCTCGCAGAACAGCCAGTGGATCCACAGACCAGACAAGACAGTTCATCTACATAGATGCCCTTCTTATTCACTCATGCTCTCTACTCAACGCCCAGAGCCCCTATCACAAAACCTACCTCTAAAGGACACACAATCCAGACCAGCACAAGTACCACATGGACCCCAGTTACCAAATCCACTGTCTCAGAAGTGCAGCAGCATTATTCTCCAGTTACGGTTGGTGATCTGGCGTGTCTCTTTCCACCATAGCAAAGGAAGGGATGAAACTCTGTGTGTTTCTTTTTCCCCTGCTGCTCTCTGGGGTGGAGCAGTGACCCTGTGGCTAAGGATCTGCGCCTGTGGCTGGAAGGTTGCCGGTTCAAATCCCACAACCGGCAGGAATCCTTGTTGGGCCCCTGAGCAAGGCCTTTAACCCCAGGTGCTCCAGGGGTGCCGTATAAATGGCTGACGTAACTTTGGAATTTGTCTTTTCGCATACTCCAAACTTCTCTCCCTGTCTATGTGCCTGTGTGTCTCATGGAGAGCAAGCTGGGGTATACGAAAAGACAAATTCCTAATGCAAGAGATTGTATATGGCTAATAAAGTGATCTTATCCTATCTTAAAGGTGTTGGTTTCCACATCCTCTCCTGTGTGCTGTCATGCGGACTCTGCCTTTTCCAGCTTCTTCTCTGTTTGTGGACACCCCCTAACCTTGCTCTTGGGGGGAGGGAAGTATCACTTTAATGTTTACGGTGTGAGCAGAGCTGATGGCTCAGGGATCATTGATTAACTGGCTATATGCAGGAGCTCAGTAACAATGCAGTTGTATGTTTGTACCCTGTGGAAGCAGAGGCCCCAGCCCCAGCTAGAACTGTCTCACTATCCCACGTCACCTCTGAACTGTGTGATAATTAATGAGTGTCTAGGAAAGAGGGGAGGACCTTTGATCAATAGGAAGCTAAAGAATGAGAAGCTGGCCATTCTGTGCAACTCTTAACACTTTTTCACTTGCAACTCATTTTTCAAAGCTGAGTGTTACTTCCACAGTAAAGATGCTCCAGTTCCGTAACACTAGGAGGCTTGACCAGCATAAGACAATAATAAGAACGAGGTTGTGAAGCATTTTAATAAACTTGATTTAAGTCTTTAATTCAGGCCAGTTTACAAGTATAAAGGGGTATATTTTATTTTATATGCCTTCTGAAAACCCATGGACTTTGAGGTTCTTCTGTCCATGTATATGGAACAGGTTGAGTTCTTGGTTATCTGTGTGAGCTAGAGAGTCTGATGATTCAGACCTTCTTTCTACTCCACACAATGAGGAACAGAGCGCTCTTACTCTCCTGAAGACTAGACTCTACACAGTGAGATACACAGCGCTCTTACTCTCCTGAAGACCAGA